TAGATGACTTATAGGGACCCTATGAACAAAAGACCCGGAAACTTTCCTCCTTTCTACAGGTTCAAAGGGTTTCTGGAGGCAAGCTAATTTGTAAGTGGATGCCACTCCTCCTACCATGCCTTTCTTTTCTTTAACTGAGAAACAATTTAGATTCTAAACTTTCTTTTGCAGCTATACTCCATGCTACCCACCCCGATTGAGCCAGGTTAATCGTGCTCTGCTCAGCAAAGCTGTTTTAGTTACCACCAGTTTAGAGAACTCTGGCCACCTCCCAGCCCTCCAATTTATGCAGAAATGGAGAATGATAATATTCTTTTGAGCTATTTTTAAAAATGCAGACTTCCAGGATGATTGTTTAGAAATTCTAAGTAGCTCATAAGACCAGGAAATTAACGTTTAGAACAGCAATATTTTTATCTCTATCTCCTTTACCCAACACAACATTTATTTTCTTGTTTCATTAGTTGTGGGCACTTGGTCTATTTTAAGGCACTCGGCTGGAGTATCAGCAGGGAGTTGGACTGTTAGCCCAGTGGTGCTGCTTCTCTGGTGGAGCCAGTGCACCAGGGGCTCTGCAGGAGGAAGATGGCCAATTTCTTTCCAAGAACCCACTGGAGAATCTGCTGTGATTTAGTTCTGACTTGACAGCAATGAGTGGTTTTAATAGAATTTAACAAGTTGTTGACTCCCTAAAATTATAAGCACAGAAACTGTTTCAATATTCATACTTATTTTTTTAAAACCAAATATGTAGTTTTCATTCAGTACTCAAAACCAAAAAATTCAAACTAAGAAAACCATAGTCACTGTGTGGTTAGAGCTCCTACTAGTTAGATTTGGAGGAACCCGGCATCAGGAACTATATTTATTAATACACTGTTGGATTTCAGATTTGTATACACAGGCTCCTAATTCTGTATGCCCAAGCACCTTATGGCAGTAAATTAAGTACCTAGGTTGCACAGTTACCTCCCCCTACCCCTCCCCCAAAAAAAGGACCTTTAAAGGTGCAACAGCTTGGCATTTAAGTGGTCTCAAAGTTTTATCCATTCTAAAGGAGCTGTAATAAGACTATCTTGTAGCAATTTATGCTACCAGCCCAAAGGCCACCGTCTCCAGTAGAGTGAATCCACCAGCCACTCCAAGGAAAGAGATTGTCAGTTCCCTCCTCGTGTGATTTATAGCTGTACAAACACAGTAGAGGGATGCTGTGAGTCAGAAGCAATTTTACAGTATTGAGTTTGAGGTCTTTAAGAAGTAAAAAGAGCCCAACTGACAACTTAAATTCCTTCCACATAATCTCTGACAAAGAAAAAGGAAATCCTCTGTCCGGTTAGCAGCAAGAATCCATGAAGAATCCAGATTATCCTCGTGTTGCTGGAGGAGCCCTAGCCGCACAGTAACTAATCCCTCAGCCTCTAACTGGAAGATCAGCATCCCCAAATGCCCTCCACCAGAGCGTCTTGACCCACAAGAGAAAGACACAGCTGTTGGCTTCCTTAAATATAAGCCCTAAAAACACAGTGGCCAGCGCTGCTTTGTCCAGTAGGACCCTAGGAGTTGGAATCAACTCAACAATGGGGGGTTAATTATGACTCATAGCAACCCCAAAGTACATTGTAGAACTGCCTCATATTTCCAGGTGCGTAATCTTTAGAGAACCAAACTGTTAAAATCTTTCTCAGAGAGGCTGCTGGGTTTAAGCTACTGACCTTTGAGATGACAGCTCAGCCACTTTGCTACCAGGGTTTCTTTCAACTCTACTGTGTTCTTCCTTTACAATGTCACTAATATGGTTAGTTCCATGTGTCACTAATTAATTTACAATCAAAGAAATGTTTACAGTGCCTCTGTGACCTCAGTGTGACTCTTGTCCCTATAAATACATACACACAAAATAAACCAAAAACCCCAACGAATAAAAGACTTTTATAGTAAAATTCCTAATGGTTCAATTCTCCCAAGAATCAAGACCTAAAACAAATAGAGATGGGAGCTCAACAAACTCACAAATTCCTTTAAAATGTATTTTACCAATTGCAAAATATATAACTACCTGTCTTGGTAACATTTTAAGAATACAGAAAAAGCATTATAAAAGTAATTAGCAAAGACCAGGAAATTATCCTTGTAATGTTACAGGAATCTTTTCACTAAAATGCACGACAGTTAAAATGTAACAGATATTTCCATATCACATAACATTTTAAATGCTGCTGAGAAAATGTTCAGGATTTAATATGAGATTTAGTATGGTTATATCACTAGCTAATATACTGTCAATAACAAGCCAGACCGTAATTGTAAACAAACACTGGAAGATGTTTTTGATAGAAACACAAACAAAAAGTGATGGATTTTATAACTTTTGTCTCCCAATTCTGTCCCTTTTAGCAATGTTGCTGTGTTTCAGCTGCGTTAGCTATTACAGAACGATTGCCCTTCCCTATGCTTGTAGACCAGTGAGCAAAGTCCAACTAAGAGCAATTTACCCTCTGACTCTTGGGAAGCTACTGATCTTTCTAGCCATCTAACTGCACCCCAAAAGTGTTACATGGTTTCTAGAACCTCCTGAAGCTTTTAGAAGACTTCTGACTAAAATTCTTAAGCCTGAGCATCAGAATAATGTGGGTGATCAATAGAACAGGACAGACACTTGAGTACTACTTTTGAAGTGTCATATTCACTTGATCTCTGGTGTAGCCAATTAAGCATTTAGAAGTTTCTCTGCAGTTTTTGAGCTATAACAAAGGTTGAAAATCACTGGCTTAGAAATGCTTTCATTTCAGACTAACTTCACATGTCTCTAGTGAGACTTTTGGGGGTATGTTCAAAGCCTAGAAGTAAAAACTCAAACTCTGCTCTCTGCCGTCAAGTATAAAATGACTCATAGTTGACCCTCCAGCTGATTTTCAGAGGTCATGAATTGCATGAGAAGATATAGCCTCTCTTTTTCCCACACAGCATCTGGTGAAATTGTATCACCTATCTTTGATTTAGCAGTGCAACTCCTTACCTTCTGGTTCATTTATTTTAAGTAGGTAACGTTTGTCTTGGTCATACAGGGGTTTAAATATTAGGCTGCCAGCCTAATGGTCAATGATTTGAACCTACTAGCCTTGTATGAGAGAAAGACAAACTCAGAAGCTCTGTGGAATCTCTCTTCTGCCCACTAGGTTCACAGAGCCAGAAGGTACTGGACAGCCATGGAAGTTTTTTGATTTGCAGTTTTGTTTTTTGTTGTTCTTATTTTTTTTCAATATATAAAATGGTGTCAAAGTAGTCTGAAATAGTTTATCCTTTTTGCACCTGAGAGTTTTCAAATCCACTATGTGCCAATCTAGTGAGCACTTGAGTTATAATTCACCAATTATCTCATTATGGATTTGACTATCAAAACTACCAGGAAATGTTTGACCACATACAAATGATCACAGGGTCAGACACCAACAGATGTCATTTTTAAGCAGCTGTTGGAGTAAGTTTTGTAAGTGGGATGGAGTGTTAATTTCTCAGAAGTAGTGAGTCACTTGGAATCCCAGATATGCACATTTGCTGCTGGTATTCAAGCCTAGCAGACCATCTCCTGAATTACAAGGTTGATCTCTTGGTTGTGTAGTTAACCAGGGAAATGTATAAATGTCATTAGGATTAAGCAGGAGAATTTTTTGTCGGAGTTTATTAGAAGGAGTTGATTTCACATAATCAGCCAATAATTGAAATCACTGAGGGTTTGGTTTGGTTTTTACACTTTTACAAGTCTGCCACAGACTGACTGGTTGAAACCAGAAGTGTGTGTTTAAACTGGAGAATGCTATAATCTTACCTAGAAAGCAGCTCCACTGTTTTCCCAAGTGGGGAGCCTAAACTGGTGTTAGGTTATGATGGAATAACTACAGTGTTACACTGCTTAACACCAAACATGCCTGCGGGTTCCTGCTAAAACTGATGTAAACACCCCGTGTTAGAATCCTAAGCTCCAGCATTTTGTTAAGTCTATCTATAGCAAAGAATCAGGTAGTGCCTGGCTGAAGGTCATGGGTGAAACATAGCTATTCAAGTACTTCAGTTTTGAGACAGCTGGATTACTCCCTGACCTGACTTTCATGAGTGGGAGGATCATCTTCATCAGTTTGCCTTCCTGCCTTTTCTAAAAATAGTAAGGGCCTTTGACCGGGAGTTATTTTCAGCCAAGCATATTCACTTGTCTCATCAGGAGACACTTATTTCAGCCACGCTTCTGTCAGATTTGCATGCGTGCATAGTTAGCCTTTGCAAGAGTGCCCCATGCCTTCTCCACACCACTCGTGTGAGAAACTTGCAAAGATAAAGACACTGGACTACCAGCTGTGCGTTTTGGGTGCAAGGCAGTAGGGTCAGCGTTAAATGAAGGGGAGGCACTTTGTAGGAAGGTGGATATGCTTCCGAAATCATCCATTTCAGACATTTGCACATCACTCCTCAGCTTTTCGGATCTGTTTTCACAAAACCTGGCTGTGATTTCGCTCCCGAGGCCACATTGATCTTGCTGCATTTAATAAACATTTTCCTATGCACAACTGCCAACCTGTGGATAAGGGGAACTAATGAGAAACGGTCATCCAAAATCTGAACCACAAACAGCAAACCAAAGCAAACCCCAGAATCCTAGACTGAACCCAAAGAGAGCAGCGCCAGCCAGCCGTGCTCACAAGAAGACACGTAGAAAAAGACCGAGATGTAATTTTGATTCCCTGGCCGGAGTATCCGCCACATGACTGGCACGCAGTGGGTACTTTGTCTTTTTCTACTTTGAAACCAAACAAAACGTGCAAATACAAGTTATTCTGCACGCCTGGGACCAAAAAATTATGAGTGTGAGGACACACAGACTCTAAAGGCAATATGGAACGTAAGCAGGTAAACCTTGTTCCACAGTCATGTCATTCCGGTACAGTTGTACGTGGTACTCGTGTTTGCACCTCTAAGAAATTTCCGTTCTTTCGCATCAAAAAATCCAGATATGAAGCGGAAGCTGCTTTCTTCGCCAACCTGAAGCTGTCTGATTTCAACATCATCGATACACTTGGAGTTGGAGGTTTCGGAAGAGTAGAACTGGTAGGTGACTCTTCTTTTAACTTCCTTTGACAACCTTTTTACCCCTCATCCCCCAGATGAAGATTTCTGTTTTTCTCTCTCAATTATTTCCGTTTCTAAATCAGTGCCAAATACTTTCATTGTCAGCATGTTAGCATTTATAACAATTAAAATGGGTTGCTTTGGTTGGCTTAGAAATTAAACCAGAGCAAACAAGAAATTACTTTTTCTAACACTTTGTACTACTAAATGAAATGTAAGCACATTTCCTTAATGAATCATAAAGCTCTTTTAATCCAGATGCTTCTCTGTAATCTTTCTTTACTTCATTCTGAGTGATGCACATTTAACCTAGCTATTCCCTCTATCTACAGCTACAGTAATTTAATTCACAGGCAAATTTAACCATATATAGGGAAATAAGAGTCATGTTTTAATCAGGTTTTTAAATGAACAACACTTTAGGATTCTTACTACCAATTAAACAGAGTAAATATTTGTGTTGCGTTATTGTGATACTCAAGTTACAAACCCATATTTATAGTATTAATGATCTATATATTTATATGATTTATTTCCACAGACACTTTTAATCTATTTTATGTTTCCAAAGAGCTTGACATTATTTTCACAAGTTTGTTAAGACACTTGTTCATGGAAACAATGCAAATAAAATGGGGGGAAAATGCCCTGTACATTTGTTTGAAATATAAATTTTAAAAATTCCTTACTGTAACACAAATGAGAGGGGGGGGAAATGTATTCTGAAATTGCTACATTCCAGCACTCAGTCCATATACATGTTAACTGAAAATACAGATTCACCCCAGCCTTCTGTTGACCAGAGAGGAGCCCCTGATGGCAGATTCCAGTACAGTGTGTCAGGAACTCCCTGGGACCGTGGACAATGCAGTAAACAGTTACTGTTGCCATAAGGGGCAGGAAAAGTCATCGGTCTAGGGCTATTTTTGCTTATAAGGCCTTTGTCCTTCAGTTGGGATATTTGACTTTGGCAGGCAGAAGGATTTTCTTTAAATTTTGAAGAAACTTTGAGAACCCAAATATGGTTTTTACTTCCCTTAACATTAGTCCGAAGTCTTATAATAACACTGCTTCTGACTTAAAGAGTCACTAGCATGTCTCTTAGATTCTTTGTGGTTTCATTTCTAAACCAAAATCAATGCCTTTGCTATTAAAGAATTTCCAGCTCCTAATGACCCTCTAGGCAGAGTTGTGCTGCTCCGTAGGACGTTCAGGACTTTTATGGAAGGAGACTGCTAACATCTCTCTCCCAAGGAGTGGCTAGTGGGTTTGAACTCCCAACTGTGAGGTTAGTAGCTGAGAATTTTACCCATTGCACCACTGTTGTTGTATACCGTAGTCAGAACTGACCCATAGTTGACCCCTCGGTGAGTTTTCAGAGGCAGTTAATCGCACAAGAGGAGATTGTCCATCCTTCTCCCATCGAGCAGCTGGTGGCCTCAAACAGTGTGCCTTCGAATTGCAGTGAAGCTTCTTGCCACTAGGCTGCCAGAGCTCCCATATTCTCAGTTTGTGCTGGCTTGTGTGTTGTGTACCATCGAATCAGAACTGACCTTCCAGCGGGTTTTCAAAGGCAGTTAATTGCACAGAAGGAGTTTGTTTGCCATTCTTCTCCAGTGGAGCAGTTGGCAGATTTGAACCTCCCATCTTCTGGATTGCAGCACAGATTCTTACCACTAGGCCACCAAGTTCCCTATATGTCTTCTCAGTTTAAGGTGTGTACATAAATGAGGGGCCTAAAATAACTTGCCAAAAAAAACCTCAAACAACCAAACCCCCCAAACCAAACACACCCACTTGTTTGTCTTAGACCCACAAATTAATACAGTCTTAGATTTATTATTCCAGAATGTTTTAGCTTAAAAATGCTACTTTGTAGTTGTCCATATAGCTGACGAGGATTTATTAACAGCCTTGTACATTAAGTTTTGTGTTAGCACTGCTGATACATATAAACATTGCTGAAGTAGAACACTCAGTGTGAAGGAGTCTATTGTGTTTACTTAGGTAATATTTTGTGTTAAATTCCACTCTGAAAGAGGCAATGTAAGGGACAGAATTCTCCAAAGATTGATTTTGAGACTGGTTTTTCATCTCATAAAGACTTTTTTGGTGGTTTGGGTTTTGTTTTTTTTTAAAAAGCACAATAAAATAGCTATTTCCTGTAACAACAACAAAAAAAACTGATCATTAAACCTTTTATGGCCTTCTAGAGGTCTGAGAAGTTCAACCTGGGAAACCACAAATTACCACTGAAATAGTTCATGAAATACAAATTTTTTTAAACTTTTAAAAAAATTTTATTATTATCGTGTGTGTCTGTACCGTCAAATCAGATCTGACTGATACAGGAGGAGATTGCCCCTCCTCCAGCAGAGCATCTGGTGGATTTGAACTGCATTATCTCTGGGATTGCATTGCAGCTTCTTGCCACCAGAGCTCCCCTAAAAATGCAAATTTTTAAGATACAGATAAGAGCCGAACCTCCATTTGGTGGCCTCTGCTGGCATAATGTTACATATAGCAAAAATCTGTATCTATCTCCAGGGGTTCGAAGCTACCACCTGCCCCGTGGGAGAATATTTGTGCAGTCCCTTCCCATAAAAATTTAAAGCTTCAAAAAGCCAATGGAAGGTTACCATGAGTTGAACTTGACTCCTGGCAGTTGGGTTTTGGAAAAGCCTAGAGCAAACAAAACAGTTAAATAAAGGGGTTCTAGAAAATACTAAAAAAAATTAAAAACAACTCACTGCAAAATTAAGTAAGCTTTGGTATGTACATATAAAAAATAATGTAGTTCAGACAGACACTTTTCAGTATGTCTGTATGTGTATGTTTGGTATATAAATATTTATCCTCCTTATTTAGAGAAGGGATACCAGATAATTTAGCCTAGTTTTCTACTTATATAATATTCAGTAAAATGGGTTTGACACTTTACTCTTCTACACAGATAATTATGGACTTATAAAAATCACTCTGGTGGCCTAGTGGTAAGAAATTGTGCCGCCAACCCAAAGGCACATGGTTTGAATCTACCAGGTACTTCATAACAGGAGAAAAGTTGGGCGTTCTCCTCCTGTGCCATTGACTGCCTCTGAAAACCACCGAAGGGTCCGCAATGGGTCCTTTCTCCTATCTGGTACAGTGCTCCCAGTGGTACACAACAACAACAAAAACCACAACCCTCAGAATTGATTAAGTTGATAAATTTAGCTTAACTTGCAAAAATGTTGTATAGATTGTTGTTGATTGCCTTTGAGTTGAGGACGACACATAGTGACCCTATGAACAAAAGACCTGAAGCCCCTCTACAACTGTGGATATTTATGGATAAATAATAAACACATAATTGTAATTGTTCACCACCACATGTACTTTAGTGATAAGAAGCACACCTATTTTTAACACCTAAGATAGATGACATTTTGCATCTGCCCAAACAAACCAAGAACATGTTGGTTATCTTCATTTTTCATTTCTGGGGTTTCTAATTCCTTAGAAACCATTGCAGTCCACTGCAATGTAAGTTTAAATTTGAGCTCTTTCCAGTATTGACTGTCTGGATATGGATAGTTATGAAAAACACCCTTTTCTGTGATTGTTCATGGTTTAATGAGACCAGTATTGGAAGTTTGCTCTTAACACGGTAATTATGCATGTTGTTGTGATAGGACGTGATGGCCATCACCTTGAAGGTAGTGGTGACCACACGTGAGGCAGTAGCATATTTCCAGAGCATATCATATGTTCATAGTTAGGGGGAAAGATATAGGCAGAACCCAGTTTACTGACCTGCTCACGACTATTCTAAGCACTGATAGAAGACATCTAAGTAACACTCTCCACTCAAAAGTTATATCTGTTACAGAATAAGATCAACTTTACACATCATATTCATGAAGTGTTCCATATTTTTAAGACTAGGAAGGATTGCCATCCACTTCTGAAATAACAGGCTTCCGAAAACCCTATGTACAATAGAACACACTTAGACTAACAGGGCAACTGAGGTGGGAGATTGGCACAGGCTAGAGCAGGGCTTAGGGCTGTTGTACAGAGGGTCGCTATGAGTCACAGGCCACTTGACGGCACATATCAACAAATAAAAACTAGTCCCTTTGTTTTATGGCCACATCCCTGAATGTCTCTGCCTTTTCTTTTGTCAAAGACATTCATGTTTTTCAGAACAGAATTTCACAAATCAAACTTCCTTTTCATTGGACAGTGCGGGTCTGTCTTGGAGATGGTGAAACCGAGTTTCTCCTTGGAGGCTAGGTGAAGCTCCTTCTGACATACTTTGGGCACATGGCCAGGAGGGTATAGTCCTTGCAGAAGGACATCACACTCAGAAAGGTGGAGGGACAGCACAGGAGAGGAAGATCTCGATGAGATGGATCGATACAGTGACGAGGATAATGAGGCTAGGTGTGTCAAAGTTAGTGAGACTGGCTCAGAACAGGGCAGGCTTCAGAGCTGTTGTACAGAGGGTTTCTATGAGTTTCAGGTGACTTGATGGCACATAACAACAACAGTTTATGGTACTTTCTTTAAATATTTGATGTTTATTTATTTAACCCTGTCAGTTTCCTATACCAAGGCATGATCTTTAGATAATATGTAAAAAAGAAATATTATTGTTTTAACTGTTAGGTATTGTCAGTTCTGACTCATACAATTTTGTAAACTAATGAGTAAGTGCATATTCAGAATATAAATAGTATGCAATCATTCCTTGAGGAGGAGGAAGACATCAACATAAATAAGTTAAAGCAGTGTATTGGAGGAAGATACTTTAGGAACAAATAAATATTATTTACTCACTGAAATCACACATTTCTTTTTCGCCCTGCTTTAGAACTTTTGCATTGCTTTCCTTCGCAGCATACAGTTTGGTCCAGTGTACTTCCACAGGATGAGAATATGGAGTCTGATCCACATTTTACAGGAAAGAAGCTAAGAATCACATATGTGCATAT